TATGGATTTTCCCGAGGTTGCACCGGTGTCCTCTTATCTCCGACATATAAGCCTTTAGTTCTTTACCTGCACCGTCGACCGTCACACAACTTAGGCAATTCATAGGTTTGGCCTCCTACTTCCGAAACTTCATTCCTAAATTTTCACAAGTAATGAAACCCCTGTATGCACTCACTTCGAGTAGCAAGAATATAACTTGGACGGATAGGCACGAACAAATAAGACAAAAGGTAATTTCCGTCCTGACTGACGCGCCGGTGCTAATGATATTCGACCCCAATTATCCGATAGAACTACACACGGACGCTAGCTCGGAAGGATATGGAGCCATTTTAATGTATAAGGTCGAAGGTAAAAATCGAGTAGTGGAGTATTACAGCAAAAGAACTAGCCCTGCGGAATCTAGGTATCATTCCTACGAATTAGAAACGTTAGCCGTCAAGCACTTCCGTCATTACCTCCACGGACGAGAATTTCTGGTTGTCACTGATTGCAACTCCTTGAAAGCATCCAGTAATAAGGTACACTTGAATGACAGGGTTTACAGGTGGTGGGCTTACCTGCAAACTTTTACCTTTGACATTATGTACCGGGAAGGTAAACGAATGGCCCACGTAGATTTCTTTTCGCGAAACCCCGTGGATCTGGATCATTGTACGATCAACAAAATTGTAGAGAAAGAAATCAATCTATCTGAAATCTCCGATGATTGGTTGTTAGCAGAACAACGTCGCGACCCACAAATCTCTGAGATCGTCCGTAAGTTGCAAAATGAAGAGCTCGCGGAAGATATTGCGAATACGTATGAATTACGGTCCGGTACACTCCATCGTAAAATACAGAGAAAAGGCAGAACTCTTTGCTTGCCCATTGTCCCGAGGGGTTTCAGGTGGTCCATCATTAACCATGTGCATCAGTCCATTATGCACTTAGGTTGGGATAAAACGCTTGAGANNNGGTTGGGATAAAACGCTTGAGAAACTATACGAGTATTACTGGTGCGAAGGAATGGCGAAATATGTTCGCAAATTCGTTGAGAACTGTCATGCTTGTCGAGTTTCGAAGGCTAGTTCAGGTAAAGTACAAGCTGAACTGCATCCCATACCTAAGACCAGCATACCCTGGCATACAGTGCACATGGATATAACGGGCAAGTTAAGCGGTAAGAGTGACTCAAAGGAGTATATCATTGTTTTGGTCGACGCTTTTACAAAATTTGTATACCTGTATCATACTCGTAAATTAGATTCCTTTAACACCATTATAGCACTTAAGTCCGCTACATTTTTGTAGTATCGTGGACGAAAGGCCTAAGAGATATCGGGCGAATCATAAACAATGTCAAAGGCCTAAGAGATATCGGGCGAACCATAAACAATGTCGCGAGAGCCGAGGCGCCGTCGGGTCCATCAATGTGTCATGGGTCTTTTCAAGTGCATAGTTTCGTAGAAAAGACCTACGTGACCCTAGCTACGAGCGTTTGCAGAATACGTGTGCGGTGGGCCTAGTAAAAGACAATAAAATGCTACAACGGCCAGAGAGTGCGAGTCGAGAAGCAGCGTGCGAGTCGAGAAGCAGCGTGCGAGTCGAGAGTTTCGAAGGCTAGTTCAGGTAAAGTACAAGCTGAACTACATCGCATACCTAAGACCAGCATATCCTCGCATACGGCACACATGGATATAACGGGCAAATTAAGCGGTAAGAGAGACTCGGTGTATATCATTGTTTTGGTCGACGCTTTTACAAAATTTGTATACCTGTATCATACCCGTAAATTAGATTCCTTTAACACCATTACAGCACTTAAGTCCGCTATATTTTTATTCGGCAATCCCTGCCGGGTAATAGCGGACCAAGGAAGATGTTTTATGGGTAAAGATTTCCAAAATTTCTGCCAGAATAGACACATTAGACTTCACTTAATAGCAACCGGTGCGAGTAGGGCCAATGGACAAGTAGAGCGTATTATGAGTACGCTGAAAAATATGTTAACGACGGTGGAAACGACCGGGCGATCTTGGCAAGACGCGATTGGCGAGATACAACTAGCTTTGAATTGCACCACCAATCGTGTAACCAAATCAAGTCCTCTGGAATTATTAATTGGGAAGGCAGCAAGGCCCTACGGCTTATCGTTGCCTGATAATATTGAGGAAAAGGAAGTAGACATCTCCAATGTAAGGCAACAGGCGATACAGAACATGGAGACATGCACCAGTTATGATAAAGACAGATTTGACAAAACGAAAGCGAAGATAGTTAGGTTTAATCTCGGTGACTTTGTGTTACGTAAGAACGAGGAAAGAAACCAAACGAAGCTAGATCCGAAATTCAAGGATCTATTTATGATAACGGAAGTTTTAGAGGGGGATAGATATACTTTAAAAACTCTAGATGGCAAACGGTCATATAAGGATAGACACGACAAGTTGAGAAAGATGCCAGATGGTTGCATTCCTGCTGAGTTGGACGTCTGCGGTGATGACAGCGACAGTGATAATAACGATGCGAGCACATTGATTTCTGGGAATCATTAACACCGCATTGTGGTCATAGTAATACTCCCAGTGTAGTGTATGCGCCTTTTATAATACTCCCAGTGTAGTGTATGCGCCTTTTATAATACTCCTAGTGTAGTGCTTGTACTTTTTATAATATCCTCACTGGTGCCCTGCGCTTTCTATAATATCCTCACTGGTGCCCTGCGCTTTCTATAATATCCTCACTGGTGCCCTGCGCTTTCTATAATATTCCCACTGGTGCCCTGCGCTTTCTATAATATTCTCACTGGTGTCTTGTGCCTTTCGTAATGCACCCAACGTGGTTATATGATTCAACAAACTGAGATCTTTGTGTGGAGTCGAAAATGATCTGTCGTGTCATTGCGGTCTGACTGGTGACTTACGGAGTGTAACTGGCACTTTGAATACAAACTATAACACTAATTTGAGTTCTCTTTCATTTCCTTGCTTGCCAAATTTTCGAGCAGAGCTTTGTTGCTGAACTGGGGTTGTTGAACTAGACCCTTGACTTATTTGGAACATCTAATCGAATGGTAAATAATATCAGTTACACCGAGTCTAATGTTTAGAAAAACTCTGTATTTTAGCTGCACACGAGGACGTGTGATAGTCAGAATGGCCGTGTCGGAGATGAAAGGAAAACCGGAGCCTTCCCTTTGCAATTTTATGAAAGCCTTCTAATACTTTAGCCTAGATTTTATCATAACTGTAATTAAGCAATTGACATTTGTAATTGTTTGACATTTGTGAAAGCGAATGTGGGTTCGAGGTGACAACTGGTTGCCGAACGTAGCCACGGTCATGGGATAAATGTTTTGCCTGATGAAGGTGTGGATCGGTTGTATTGTTCTCCCTAGAAAACATATAGATTTGTACTTTAGAGATGCTGATATCCTAGAAAACACATAGAATTGTACTTTAGAGATGCTGATATAATGGGACACATGTTGTATTAGGAATTAATCTCCAGACAGAAATTGTCTAGTATCGGCGTTTGGATCTTTCTCGATATTTCCAAAGAGTATACAACAAACTTTTGACAGAAAATTGCCTAGCAACAACGATTGGAACCTTCTCGATGTCTCCAACGAACATATAACAAACAAATGCAGTCATTTAACGAAAAAAAGATTTTTATCAGATATTCATTCGTGTGATCGCCTTGGAAAGTGATACATCAAGTAATTTACCGAGTGATTCAGCAAACGTATTTTGTGTTATTAAAAATTATTTAGAGTTATCCCGTTGACCATGGATTCGTTTGAACCCCGGAATATTGTTAATAGCGTAAATTAAATTCATTATTCGTGAAATCTATCAATCGTTAATTTCATTATTTATTAAATTCATTATTCGTAAGATATATTATTCGTTCCTCTTATAATTCGATAAAATTTATTATTCTTTAATCTAATTATTAATTAAACTTATCATTAGTTAATCATAACATTTATTAAACTCATTATTTATAACATTTTGTAAAATCTTGTTTATTCGTGTAAATATATTCTCTGTTTTGTAAAACAATGGCTAATTCAAATGAAGAATCATTATGCGACTTAAATCCTAATGATAAGCCGACATATAGATATATATTTGTAGTTAATAATGTAGTTACACATAGGATTTATTCAAATTTTAAAAATGTTAATTAATCTTAATAATGTGTTTTCATGATTTGTTTCTCGCGGCTGGTTTCTATTAATTTCTAATATTCCTGTTACCACATAATAATGTGTTATATTGTATTAATTATTATTTATTCTTTTCTCGTTACGATCTTCTATTTGTATTAAATATTTACTTTTTCATCGAAAATATAATTTATTTTGTAATGCATAACAGTTACTATATGTGTTGATTATCCAAAATGGCCGCCTGTGAATGTCCTTAGTATATGGTGATTTTTATTGATGTCGAATCTATTATTTATTTGTTAATTATTTGTGATTTATTTTAGTATTTGACGTATAATTGAAGTCGGAATAATATTATTTTGCATTTATTTGATGTGTATAATTATTGCATGTATTCCGATGCGCACGTGTAAGAGCTATCTTATGTTCATGACAATCTAAGATGGTCGCTCGTGAATGTCTCCAGTAAAAGTATAGTGACGCGTCCTTAATTTGTTTAATACTGAAATAATTATTCGTCCGTCGCTTAGTTTCCTCTATGTTAGCGCAGTTAGAATTTTTTAAATGACAATGGTATTGTTTGTGTAATCATTATAATGTGTATATATACTATGTGTTATTTTAATATAATAACATGTGGATTGTGTTATTGTTAAATTTTATAATTTATAAATAGCACTGTTTTATTGTTGTGTTTCGAGTGGTCTATTTTTATAGAATGTTCGCTTAATTAATTTGATAGTAATATGTGCATAGTATGTTATTACCAGTTCTACTGCATAACATAACCATATTTCTCTATGCCAGACTTAATACTATAATAATTATACTATAATAACTTAGTACAATATAATAACTTCTTATCTTAATCGTGTTTATCGTTGATACTCGGTTAATCGGTCTTGATTAATTTCTAACCTATTCCTATATTATTGGCTATTTTCTGTTTCTTTGTTATGAAGTTGTCGTTACCTTGTGAGTGTAATTTGCCGCCTTTACATAGAATTTTGGTGCTAATCTATACATTGTTAGTTAAAATCTTTATTATTTATTGGTTCTACAATTCTAATCCTTCAACGCTGAGTCCTTTACTTGGAACGGTTACATGGTGCGCGTTTGGTATCTTCTGGTTCTTCGTTACATGTCTAACACTTATCAGGACTACTTTTACTTATCCTAGAATTGTAAGTATATATAAAATTGTAAGATATATATAAAACACTATATTTTTTATAAATATCTGTATAGTAAAATAGTCCGTCCACTATCTTGTTTGCTAAGACCGCTTCGATAGCATCACATTGTTTTGCTATAGTGTCAGAATATTTCCTTGGTTTTCCAGTTTCCTGTTGCAGCCTTGACTGTTTCGGTAGTATCTGGTTCAGTATTCCATAAGTATTCACTTAAGTTTGGTAGTAGGCTTCTTGTAACTGTGTCGGCTTTAATGTATATCTTCAGATGTGAGTAACGAGCTTTTTATTATTATCAATTTCTATTCCAAGATGGTTTACAACATTCTTCCCCTTTTTAGGTTATGATTGGTTACCTCAGTATTTATTACCTTCGATATCTTCATACCGTCGTATATTATGTTTTGCAAAGTTGGATCCGTAGCCAATCCTCGTGGGGTTCCTGTATGTACACTTCCTTCTACGATGATGGGTTGCATACAGACCTCGTTAACTTATAAGGTACCTTTTCTTGTTTTCTAAGACCATTCCGGTAGTATCAACTTCGATTCTTCGTACACATTTATTCCAATTTGGTAGTTGGTTTCTCATAACTGCGTTGACCCTTGTATAAACTTCTTCGATGTGAGTAGTGAATTATCGTTGTCATTCACTTAACCTATCTTAGCTATTTCTTGACTCTTTCTGCACTTATTAACTGATTTTATTTCTTCTTATTAAAGACTACTGTATCAACGCTGAATTATTTCGTTATAATGTCATTAATTTTCTTGATTTTTTCGGTTTTATTTTCCATTGGCCAACTGTAAGTCTGTTGTTGAGCATCAGTTATTGATTGTTATCGTGCTTCATTTAGTTTAATTGAGATATTATTGTAAGTCTTTAATAGTATTATTCTCTTCCATATATATTAAGGCAATTGAGATTAGTTTATCCATTCGTTTCTGCTGACAGTCGTATACCATGTTCTATGGAGTGGGTCCACAACTTGTTTCTGTGAAATGCCTGCATGTACGCTTCCTTCTGCGATGATTAATTGTGCACCAGATACTTTTAACTTTCACTGCTTTCAACTATTTTATTGAATTAACATGTTGAGTATTTAATGATAATTAGAACACACATATAGTAATTCTCCTTTTTCTTTTACATTTTCTACTATCTGCATGAGAGCGCTGTCACACTTCCTTTGGTTTAAGCACAATATTGTTATAAACATTTAGTAGTATTATGTTTTATATTGAAACAATTGAAGTTAATTCTTCCATTTGTTTCAGTTGGCTATCATACCTTGTGTTCTATGGATATGGACACATAATCTTCTTTTTTTTTTAGCGAGGAGGGGAAAATGCTTTTACACATACCCAAAGACCCGCGTTTCCGAGTTATGTAAGACTCTGCAGATGACATCGCCATACCCACTAAAAACCCCTCCTCATTCTCCCTATGCTACAGTACTCGAGGCACCAACCCGGTACAGTCATTCGACATTACTTTAGGTTGGCCTCTATACCACGTACCCAATCCTTTATCCTCTCTCCTCGACTCCGGTCATTCTTCTCCTCCTTCCTTCCCTTCTTCCTCTGTCCTCCACCTCCCTTTCCTTAGAAAGCCGGCATTTCATCGCCTTTGTACAAAAGTCATGAAACCTGTTCCACAGCCGCTCCTCTGCTGCCATCTTCTCAACGACTCGGTTCTCCAATTTAAAATCTTCACCAATCTCGACCTCCAACTCCGCTCTCTCCTCCGTCCATCCAGGGCACCAAAATAGCACATGCTCGGCGTCATCCATCACCGCACCGCAATCCCAACAGCTGGTGTGCGACTTTTTGCCGATACTATGACGGTAACAGTTAAAGATACCGTGTCCCGTAAGGATCTGCATCGAATGGTAGTTGATCCTCCTCCTTATTTTGTAGAAGATCAGCAGATCTTCTACGAGTCTCCTAATCCAATTGTAAGGGCTGTGGAGCGCCCACTCCAATCTCTACCTACCCTCTGCCATCCATCTCCATCTCCAAAACCTTCATTTCTTCCTGCCCAGCATGTGCCGCTTCTTCAGGGCTCTCCTTGATCCGCCTCTTCACTCCATACTACTTCCACCGCAACCATGCCTTGATGTAAATCGGCATGCTACCGGTAAGCACACACAAAGCCCCATGTGACACCGTACGGTAGGCGGTAGACGTACGGATCAACGCTGCCCTTTGCGCCCTTCTCATGATCGTCCTGCCTGGTGACAAAGAGGTCATCCAGGATTCTTCCTCACTACACGATACGGCCTGCCCCATGAATCCTGATCCAAGGTGGCGCAGAACCCCTTCCAACTCTCCTCCTTGCTACGCCCGATCGCCCTTTTTAGTCGCCTCCTAGCATCCTTGAATTCGGCCACCAGGACCTCGGCATCGTCCTTGCGAGCCGCCACCGCTCGCTGGGCTCTTCTTCTAGCTCTTAGAGTTTCGCTCCTTAACGTAGCGAACTCATCGCTCCGCCAATAGTTGGCGCTCTCCTCTTCGCACTCGCCGGGTATTTCTTCTTCAAGTCCACGTCACATGTATGCTCCAGACTCTTCTGCAGTCGTTCGCCACATACCGTCTCGTCAAATTTAAAACCACTTTCGTCATAGACTCCGTCAAATTTGTTTAAAAAACCCTCTACATCCATTTCTTTCGTCAAATATTTAAAGGCGCCACCCTCCACCCGCTTAATATTATCCCTAAACTTATGCTCAATATAAAAATGGTCAGAGGCTGAGTACCAATCTAGGACCCTACTCCCCCTCCAACTCAGCTTCATTCGTCTATTAACACTAAGTATATCCGGGAAACTAGTCCCTCCATTTCTCCGGAAGGAGTAGTTTCCCGTCGTTCTTACTCTTATTAGGAGAACAATACCCACTGATGCAAAACACGTTACAAACCCTGACCCCTACAGTCCCCATATTTCTTATCAGGGTCTCGCTCGCCGCATGTTTTCCATTAAACAGGG